TATGGACCACGTTTCGATTTCGCAGGATATCAAAAGCCTTGCACTAAAAGCGACTGTTCTGTATGTTGATTTGCAATAACTTTAAGCTGTGACATGTACTGTACAGTACAGTATATTGTTAAGCACCTTAAAACGTTAAAGGTATGCAAATGTTTTAAATGCATATATTGGTTGAATTATTTGTATACAGCAACGCATTTGGTCATTGGTAGGCCAAAAACGTACATAAACTTATTGAAGATTTATTTTAATCAAATGTCATATGTCGGAAAAAATCTTAACAAAATGTCCTAGAACCTAGCAGCAAAAATCAGTTCCGGTTTAAAAAGATTTAAACACGACATTTAATTTAGAAACTCAGGGTATTAGTTTCGAGTTTCAATTGCTTGTTTTTCTTCACTAAAATACTTTCTGTGGCATTAATTCCTAATATTGGTGGTGCTAAGCCTATAGCATCTACTTTACATTGACAAATGTGCAGATACCTAATGCAGCCTACTGGCTTCATTATCTGAAAACTGTGACTTATGTGACATTTCCTTTCTGATTTTTGAAGTGCATTGGAATTGAAAATAAACTAATTTTATTTCTTCGGAGGTAAACATCAAGTTTGGTAATGTTATTAACAGATTTACGACTCTAGCTCACCATTGATCGAATGGATAAAACCACTAAACACTGGTAATTGGTCATATGGGTTGGCCAACTACTAGTGTTCAATGATTTTATTCATTTAGTCACTGACCAACAGGATGGTCGCAGGAAAGTTTTCCGGCCTTCTTCACGTATTTTCAATAGGGGACAGTTTTCCATAGTTCGTCTCCTCGGAAGTCATCTCTCCCTTGGAAAATCTCCTACATTACGTTGCCTTATCCTATCATATTCTAATTATTTCACATACAATGTGTTATATTGATATAGAAATCATTATCGATGTTATCAAGAAAACTTCAGTTACACTCTATGCATTAATAACAGTGATGAATCATTAACTACAATTTTGCTCATTACATTCAAACCTTGCTCTCAATAGAGTCAACTAACATAATGAGGAATGAGGAAAGACAGATACTTTCGGATCGAATCTCTACAATGACGGATACTTTAGAACATGTTAGCTGAACTACTTCGCATAGTTATGCTATAGAATAAATGAATTTTAAATAATTAGAAGCTTATAAATCATTTTCATTAAAATTAATTTTAAATTTATTAATGTTATTATTAACTGTATCATTACTACTACTAAAAGCATTAGCAACATTTCATATGAAATCTAAATAAGTTACTTACTTGAATAAAGGTGTGTCGTTAATATTATCTAATACGAAACCGTAAGATATAAAAAATGAACAAAATAAAACTATTATATGCATGTTGTTCTAATGTTCTTACAGCTTCAAATGTTAATATTTCAATAATTATTTCACCTTTTATAAGAGATGACAGAAAATTTTATAAGAAAATTACAAGTAAAATACTCCTATAAAAATTTATTACGTAGAATTTATCAATTTGATTTTTTGTAGTGTTTACTAATTAAACTTTACTGCTTATCTACGTACTTTCATTTTGAATCTCCCTTGAAAAATAACGTTTGTTTTTTTGATAGACAAAATACAATACGTAACAAACACAAAGTAGCAATACGTTTATATATCATATTTATATATTTTAAAAAATATATAATTAAAAATTGTCAACATATCAATACTATATTTTTATAATAACAATTCGGATGTTACTAAATGATTTCCAAATTGAAAAATATATTACTTTTTTAACCAGAGGTTATGGGACGTGTTTTACAATACAAACTTAAAAAACATTAATATGTTAGTATCGTTTGCTTTATCCGCATTAATATGAGACTCAGACTCATAGACAAGGAAAAATTCAGAAAAATTTTTATTTACATCACTATACATTTCGGGTGACAACTATATTGTTCACCTCTTTTCAGGCTTTTTTTTTTTTATCTTACAAACATTCTTAAACCGTCGACAGGTTTTGACATTTCCATTCGACTGACATTGGCTGTCACGTTTCGTATTTCGTATTATATCCACCACCTATATGAAAATATATTTTTCTAGATTCCAAAAGAACTAAGACAAAATAAAAATTTTTGAAGAAAAAAAATCCCCATCTCTACAAATCCCAAGATTAAACTACCCAACAAAACATTTTTTTGTTACACCCTCGGCATTTAAATCGGTGATTTCCGCAGAAAAAATCCACCCGATTTCAAAAATCGCATTCAAATTTTCGTACCACGCAAGGATGAAAAGATATCGCCACACCTTTATTTTATGATATTCATACAAAATAGCATACATATGCTGTATTTCATACATGTGAAAATCATTTTAATGTGGTTTTGTTTGTTTATTTACATCGTTTTAAACTTTGACAGATAGATCAGGATGAGAATCAAATTTTTATGTGAATATGGACCACGTTTCGATTTCGCAGGATATCAAAAGCCTTGCACTAAAAGCGACCGTTCTGTATGCTGATTTGCAATAACTTTAAGCTGTGACATGTACAGTACAGTACCTTAAAACATTAAAGGTATGCAAACGTTTTAAATGCATATATTGGTTGAATTATTTATATACAGCAACTCATGTACATGTGGGCGATCTATTGAGGGGTGATGCTTCCCGGGAGGACTTTCTGTGGAAAACTGGCTCTATTAGCTTTTAATAACGTGAAGAAAGCCGGAAAACTTTACGTGGACAACCCGTTGATAAGGCGCGAACCCACGACCAACCACAGGTGTTCAGTGATTTTATCCGCTCGGCCATTGGTAGGCCAAAAACGTACATAAACTTATTGAAGATTTATTTTAATCAAACGTCATATGTCTGAAAAATCTTAACAAAATGTCCTAGAACCTAGCAGCAAAAATCAGTTCCGGTTTAAAAAGATTTAAACACGACATTTAATTTAGAAACTCAGGGTATTAGTTTCGAGTTTCAGTTGCTTGTTTTTCTTCACTAAAATACTTTCTGTGGCATTAATTCCTAATATTGGTGGTGCTAAGCCTATAGCATCTACTTTACATTGACAAATGTGCAGATACCTAATGCAGCCTACTGGCTTCATTATCTGAAAACTGTGACTTATGTGACATTTCCTTTCTGATTTTTGAAGTGCATTGGAATTGAAAATAAACTAATTTTATTTCTTCGGAGGTAAACATCAAGTTGGGTAATGTTATTAACAGATTTACGACTCTAGCTCACCATTGATCGAATGGATAAAACCACTAAACACTGGTAATTGGTCATATGGGTTGGCCAACTACTAGTGTTCAATGATTTTATTCATTTAGTCACTGACCAACAGGATGGTCGCAGGAAAGTTTTCCGGCCTTCTTCACGTATTTTCAATAGGGGACAGTTTTCCATAGTTCGTCTCCTCGGAAGTCATCTCCCCCTTGGAAAATCTCCTACGTTACGTTGCCTTATCCTATCATATTCTAATTATTTCACATACAATGTGTTATATTGATATAGAAATCATTATCGATGTTATCAAGAAAACTTCAGTTACACTCTATGCATTAATAACAGTGATGAATCATTAACTACAATTTTGCTCATTACATTCAAACCTTGCTCTCAATAGAGTCAACTAACATAATGAGGGATGAGGAAAGACAGATACTTTCGGATCGAATCTCTACAATGACTGATACTTTAGAACATGCTAGCTGAACTACGCATAGTTCTCTATCAAGTAAACATATAAAAGAGCCAGAGATAATGAGAATTTTATTATTGAGGTTAATGGATATTTAAAATTTTTAATCTTAACTATGATTTAATAATTCGATGTCATTTCAAAAGAACTGACATAATTCGAGAAAAATTGTGACAAATACAAAATTTTTGTTAAAAATTTAAAAATTATACTTGATTTTCTAAAGTGATAAATTTCCTTTAGAAAACGAAATGCGTTTTTCCTGAGTAGAATTTATCATTGATAAAATAATCAGTAAGAAAAAGTTAACTAGACTCACTTATAGGAAATATTTTATAATTTCCGTATAAAATTTTGTTATCTCTTATGATAATCGAAACACTGTTTCCTTCAATTACGGATATTCTAATTATTTCACGTATGTGTTACAATTTTCTAATATTATACTCTAAAGTTTATCTTAATTAAATGAAGTTCGAATTTAATTTAAAATTGAATATATAATATCCAAAAATTATTTTTTAAATAAAATATAATGCAATTACTTGATTAAGATATTTTAAAACAATCTTAATATAAAATTAGTTTTGGATAATCAGTGAAAAACGTTTATTTTCTGACATTGTTCTGGATCCACTCAATAATCAATATCGATCGAAGAAAAAACAAAGAAATAATTCAGATGGCAAAGTATATATTAGGGTCTATCAGTGTGTATTGAATTGAATAATATCTGTTATTTTTCGGAAAAAAGTTATTAAAATTATTATTCTTATACAAATTGCAGACGAATTATCTACCGTATCAAAGTTCTTAAACGAAAACAATCTCTTAACTAATATTTTTTCGTTTACTATCTTGTAATGTTATAGTTTAACTATATTAAATTACAGTATGTTATAATATACGAGGGTTGATCAGAAAAAAACATTATAAGAACTTAATTTTCCTCTATATTTCCCTAAACCTGTTATGAGCTTTGAGAGGATTACGTCGCAACATAAATTACCTTTTGACACATTTCTCTTAAATTAAGGCAGCAATCTAAACGTGATCACTACACTGGAATCAATGTATTGATAAATACTACTTCAAAGGTAAAAGCAGATTGATGGATTAAAGAGATAAGATAATGCAACATGAGGGCGATCTGCCATCGGAAGATGCCTCTCGAGAGGACCTTCTGTGCGCAATTGGCCTCTATTTAAGTGTTATCCCTACCTAAGAATCTTCGTATCATTTCGCCATCACACTTCTCAATATACCAAATATTATTGCGTAATAACCATTTAACCCAATAATTGAATTATTTATTATTATTATTATTATTTTCTAACTACAGAAGAGGAACAAAATTTAAAGGAAGCTTTGATGACAGATTTCAGATATATTACATACAGAGATACTCTTCAATTTGTTATCTCAAAAGATGGGAAAACTATAAATATTAATGTCTTTTGTGAGCTTTTAAATTCGATATTGAGACAACTTGAGTTGCAGAATAAAATCATCAAAGTAGATCCAGAAGATTTGAAAATAAGCAAATTACCTCAAGAATCAATTACGTCTGGTTTTCCATCAAAATTAATTAAAGAATCGAAAAATATGCAAGAGGATTCTACAAATTCCAACACGCACAAACCAGAAATTAAACAACAGAGAAATGATAAATCTCTTCTACCATCCATTCAATGCCATGGTAAGTCAGATGTTTAATATGAGAATTTATTAACGGCATTAAAGGTTAGCCAACATTACGATAAAAATTCGTTTAATTTCTACTTTTAACATCTTTAATTTAGATAATTAATTTTTAACTTCTTTAATTTAATAATAGCTTTTTAATCTTTTTTCTTCCGTATGTACTGTACGATAGAAACCGAACTCAAGCTTCCAGTGGTTCAATTAGAAGATAAAAAGGAATTTCAGCTTAGAAAAGATTCAGATAAAAATAATTTAATTCCAATTTCCTCGTTGAAATCTCTAAATGAAGGGAAAGAAAAAACTTTACCTATGAAAGATACGAACGTTAATACTCAGAATAATAAACCAGATTATTTCTTGAGTGTTGACAATAAGAATATTTCATATTCAAATAGTTATGATGAAAATAGCGTAGAAAATGCTTCAGACAGAAGAAAACAACGTGAAAAAAGTGTTCGTAGGAAAATACTTAGAAAATTAGCTTCTCCTCACAAGAAAAGAAGATTTCGTAAGGAAGAATCGATAATTGCAAATAAAAGAGACGATGAAATATCAAAGAAAATATCTCTTTTGGAGAAAAAATTTGATGAGATTAAACAAATATTAGAGGAAAGATTTTATAAATTAGAAGAAAAAGTAACCACAGAAATGAAAAGGGAGAGAAAGAAAGGAAGTTTACTTCCTTCAAAAAGTAGTCAGTCATCCGATGACTACATGTTTAGTAAGAATTAGATCATTGTCAGATGACAACATATTCAAATCTCAATTGGAGGAGAAAATTCATATAAATAGAGGATACGCACCAAACACTCTGCACAATACTGCCTAACACATCCTCTAGTATCCTCTAATCTTTGATTTTGTGCCATATAGATTGAACTTCTGCCCAAAGGACAGGAAGGTTACAAGTCAAGAATAATATTGAGGTATTATAATCAGTACTTTTGTAAACTCTCTCTCTCTCAACCTTTAGGGACCTATTTAGTTTAAGGTTTAATTATTCATGTTTTAATCATAGCTAGATGTTATTTAGTTTGTTCATTTGTATTCTTTGTTATTCATTAAAATTTTGCTAAACTGGATTCTAGTTTCCTGGACTTCTGTCACTTATTCGTGTGTCTCCCCACTCAAACGAGCCCTCCTAATTGAAATAGTAGTAAGAATCACGAGTTGGGATGCATATAATTATCCTAACTGATGTCAATCTTGACATTAATCTTGATTTCACGATCTAGATCTTTCTTACCGCTCATAGGTTAGTCATCCTTTGACGNCAGTGTTTAGGGTCCAGTCACCACCGCTATGAGCGGCAACGGAGACCACTCGGCCACTGGTGGGCAAGTAGGTCCAGTTTTCCGTAAAAGTCTTCTTGCGGGACATTTTCTCTAGGCACATTGCCCAAGTATTGAGTTGCCTTATCCATTAATCGAATCTATTTTCTTTTTTTAAGCTCACAAAAAATGTATTTATATTACTAATGTTCTACAACCTAAAAAAGAGGGTTTTCCAATATCCGAGTGGATAAACTGGTATTTAGTTGGTTTTCATAATGGATTTGTTAACAATTTAGATTGAATAAGTTGTTAATTAATGGGCACACTTCCCGGTAAAGTGACTTTAATACAGCCGAATAAGCAAGTCAATAACATAATCTGTTTCAAATGAAACGGACTATGTCATTGATTGGCTTATCCGGCTGTATTAAAGCCACTCTATCAGGAAATGCGCCAATATTATTTATTTATTAATTTAAACAATTATAATTATTAAAGAAATAAATTAATATAAAGTTTCGTTCAAATATTCCTCATAGCTAAAATTTTAAATAGTGAAATCGATATTGATATCAAATTAAGCAAACCAAAGCAAAGTGTTTTCTTAAATTATTGCTACTTAATTGTTAAATATTTTTCCAACATTATTACTTTAAAAAAGATTTTTTTTTAAATATTTAATTCATTAAAATAAAACAAATACAGTAATAATAAAAAAATATTACAGTACTGCCTAAATGTAAAAAAAAACATACAGCGCCATCTTTTATCATTAAATGTAATTATTTATTTTTAAATGGAATATTACAAAATAAAATAATTATTTAATTACGTAGTATATACGTAAATATATTATAGTTAAGGAATTGTTAAGGCTGGACTGTATTGCACAGAATGCTCCGTGAAAACTAGGAACAGACCCGGATATTGGCACGATGACATCCTTTCTGTGTTCAGAATCAAAAATAAAAATCTCTTGACAAATTCACTATTTTAATAGATTCTGTCACATCGAAGTCGATGCAGTAATTGCAGTTTACACTTGCAATGAGTTTACGACACGTATAGCTGCATTCGATGATATTTATATATCATTCTTGGCAACTGACTTACACTATACAAGAAATAAAAATTACTATAATTTATATGAATTTTTAACAAAATTACCTTTTTAACCTTGTAAATTTTCCTTAAAAATTTTATTTTAATTGATGTTAATTATTTAGAACATTCTCTTAGTTCTAGATTATCTGCATAACATAACCCAAAAGAGAAATTTTTGATAACTATGCACTTGTAACTCGTATTCCTCCGAATTATAATGAATTTCTACGTAAAAAGTGATCTTAATTTGCATGATTCTTTATCTACGTGAACGCTCCAGGAATAAATCCCCGCATAAATCATAAAAGCATTACATGATCAGATTGATCACGGGTCTATTACTCAAAGAAATTTTATCAATAAATTGGAATTTTCTTAGAATTTTAATTGCGTATCTCTTACAATGATTTATATTTTTGTTAAACTGCAATAATGGAATGTGTTTGTGACCGAAAACTTCTAAAGTTGAATAGCATTGAGATAGATGAGTTATGTATTTTATGTCGTGAATTAAAATTAAAGAAGACATCTTAAAGATTGTTAATAAAACAGAATGTTAGACAATTGTATGATTAAGAATTTGGGCAATAAAGAATCGAATATGGTAGAAGTAGAAAAAAATACAGTAACACTAATCTGATATAAAATTGCATTGATGGATTTGGATTTTTATTCGGTACCTTTTAAGTAAAATTACAAATTTTCAAAATACTTTAATTATGTCTGCGTTATGCGGTATTAAATTTCCTTTTAAATTGTCAAAAATTCAACTTTATTTGCTTAATATATAAAAAGAAATATAAAATACTATCGGTTATATTTTTATTACAAATGGACGATCGTTTGAACATGGCGGATCATTAAACATTTCAATTTCAAAAAAAAAATCCTCAGACATGTTGTCAATTTAACGCATAACTGATGCCATGGTAAGTCAGATGTTTAATATGAGAATTTATTNTCGTTCAAATTTAATTTTTAAACGTATTTTTCCATATATAATTCGAATTATGTTGCTCAATTTTTTTTTTTTTTTTTTTTAAATGGCGAGAATAAAGTTACTTATCTGAGAATTTAGTCACAGTTTACATACAAAAAATAATTCTTAAAATAAATCCGATATATAAGATTACATATTTATATTAAAATTATTTTAAATTGTAATTTTTTAACCATGTTACATCACATAAAATTTCAATCTTTTTACAGTTTTTACAATGTTATCAAAAAATAAAATAAAATATAATATAATCATGTGACTGATACTGTCATTAAGTTTAAATTGATACGAGTAATCTCGAGAAAGAATGACACGATATCGACATTATTTTCAAAAAAGTAAAGGTTCCTAAATACATTTTTTTCCTCTAAAAAGCAAGCATACTTCAGAAGAAAAGGATAGGTAGGTCTGTTTTAAAATATGTATTTTAAATATATAAGTTAATTGTAATTGTTTTGTTTGTAAAATTTAATCTAGTTTTATGCAATAGATTTTATAGATATGATTAAGTTTATACAGTATATGTATAGATGTATACAATAACTTTGAAGTCTTGGGTAGAACAAAGTCAAGTTTCAAGGAGAAACATTTGACTTTCCTTTTGAATCTTCGGTTCTTCAGACGGTACCTGAGTTTATTGATACATTTTTATTTTTAAAAATTAATTAAAAAATAATAAAATTCTTTGAATTTAGAATTTATTTACAAATACATTTTTGTGTAGGTTTATTATAGTTTTAATTTTGTATATCAGCTCCTCATTTTTAAGTATAATAATAATCAATTTTACTGTAAATTATAAAGAATTTCTAGCAATGTTTTTATTAATAATCTTAATTAATTTTCTTTTTAAAATTATTACAATATTTATTAATAATATTCCAAAATTTTCTTAATGAAAAATTCATTTATAAATGTAGACAATGTAGTTACATGCCATAAAAAGTATTTACACTGAATTTTTAAAAATTTTTTATCAAACTTATGCTAATGTTATCTAGTTTTAAGAATCTATTGATAAATTATACGTGAAAATACTTCTTATCAAGAGAACTTTTGAACTAAATATGAGATTCCTTAAGCAAATGTAAATTTAACGTATTTATAAAATTCATTTTAAATTAAAATAGTAATTTATTAATAATCTTATAAGAATAGTAAAATCTTTTAGGAAATTTTAATAAACGATTTATTAACTTAAAAATTATTTAATCCTAAAAAGAACTTTAACTATTAAAAACTAAAGGTGTTTTTAGCATAATTGGCAAGTTAAGATTTAAATAAAAATAAATTGTTAACATTTATTTTGTTTAAAATAATAAAAAGTCATAAGACTAAATTTTTTATGCTTAATTAATACTTTAATATTAAGAAATAATACAATGAAAATTGACAATATTTTTTATATTATTAAAGGTATTAACAAAACTTTTTTCTCACAGATAAAAATGGTCGATAATGGTTTATATTTATATAATAACAGTTGCTCTAGCAGTGATTTTCTTTGCTTTCTGCTGTTTTCGTTGTTGTTTCTCCCGTCGAGACACTGGAATTTCTGGAAGTGAAAGTTCGCTATCATCTGAAAGTTCACTCGATTCTATGGAATCCGAACAAAGCAGTCAGTCTTTTAATATAATAGTAAATGTTCCTCATTCTTTAGCTTTACCAGAATATACTCGAGTTGCTGAAGAACAACAACAACATTCTTCCCCCCGTTGCCTTACAACAGAGGAAGAGACATTGCATTTTGTTCCTAAGGAAGAACATTTGCATCCGCCACAACATTCTCAGCGTACAAAACCAATTTTACCTACAATTTTTCATTCAGACAGAGCCTTAAATTCTCCTCCTTTTGCTCCTTCTCCGTACGAATCATCTTATAATTTTATATTAAACTGGATTCATCAGACTTTTCCATACGTGTCATCTAGACATGTATTGAATAGAACTCATCAAACGTTGTAAAACTGTATTTAATACTTTAATCAGCCAAACTTTTGTAATACGTTTAACTAAATATTGAATAATAATCTTTTTATTCTTATTTACAATTATTTTATTTAACATTATGTAAATAAAAATATTATATTCATATATTAGCATTATATATAGGTTATATATATATATTTATAAGAATATTTATAAAAAATTCTCTAATTTAATAAAAATCTTTTTTAACTTTTCCTTTACTTAGGATAAATTATTTCTTACTTTGCTATCGATATTCATCTAAGTTACTATGGAAGAATATCTCTTCGCAGGAATTGCTGCTCTATTATAAATTCATTAGCCAATTTAATATAATTTAGGAAAGATATGCTCCAAAAGAGTGTTTTTATCATAGATAAAATGCGAATGAGTTATATATAATTTAATTTACGTCAATGCTTTTCACCAATTATTGAATAAGACGATGTAAATGTAAGAATAAAAATGGCATTCAATATTGATTTGGCAATGAGTTAGATCAAATAAGAGCAAATTTGATATAAAAATAATTAATTTATCCGTTTCATTTAATCAAAAATTATTACTTTTAAATATAGGCTATATCAAATTAAAGAAAATCCATTTTATTTATGATGAAACGAGGTAAAGTTTTTGTTTATGAAATATAAAATAAAAAAAAAATATTCAAATAAAATGTTAAATGGGGAGTGCATTGTTTAACACTTAATTGTTGCCTTTTAATGTTTGAATAGTCTTCCATAAAACGGATTTTTATAGAGGACTATTCAAACATTAAAGGAACTATTTATGGACTATTTAAGTTTATAAATTTAAAAAATATCATAAAATTTGTCTATGAAAAATCTAAACTCAGTTCTCACTTTCCAATGTTGCTTCCTGTTTTTTTGGTATTCTCAATACTTCTGATTGATATTTAAATATTTAAAATATAATTTTTGCAATTTGAAGTTTTAAATATCAGCTTTATATCTAAAAATCCAAATTACAAAGCTTCCGAAAAGCTTCAAATTTAATAATTAAAATTAAAATTTATAATGTGTTATAAAAGGAATATTCGGTATGAAAATCTACCTTCAATTAATAAAATACATTCTAAAATAATGTTTTATGTTTTTATTACAATAGCTTATAATTAATATTAAAAAGTTTTATCGGTATGTGCATTTTAAAACACACAGTAACATATTGGATCAATCATAATCTGTGTGCAAATATGTATAAATTACATTTTAATGATAGATAACTACAAAATGCTACCAATATACACTTATTAAAATGAATTTCTAAATTTTATTTTAAGAAAATAATAGGTTATACCATTACTTGATGAGTTATCACCATAACCCTCAAAGTAATGGAATGATTCTGGAGATCGAAATAATGATTTGAATGGAATATGATTTAAAAAAATCTATATTTTATAGGGCCTACAGAACAGTTGAAAAAAACTTGATAATCTTATAATAGTAAATATAAATTGCTAAATTTATATAGTATATTTATTATTATAATTTACAAAAAAAAACATTTGTTAATGAATTAAAAAGGTTACGCGGATAAAAAGGATTTAAAATTACATTAATACTTGTATTATTGATATATTTTTTAACTTGAAAACTCTCTTGTTGTCTTTTTAAAATGAGTTTTTTAAATTGTTTTTTTCGTTTATTCAATCTAAAAACAATAATGAAGTAAAGTAATCTACCAACAGAAATTTGAGAATGTTTATATTGACTTTTACCGACTTTTTTTTTACAGATTCTGCCTTCATCTTCGTTCCATTAAATCGTTAACTTTTATATAAAAAATAACATCAAATGCGAGTAGTTTCGTAAAATAAATACAAAAGTTATTCTTCAATATCATGATAACGTTTTAAATATTAAAACAGGCGACTATAATTAATAAATTATTAAAAAATTATAGCCTATACATAAGTCCAATTTAGGATTTTTTTTAATTTTATTTTTGCGAAGGTCGAGCAGAATAAAAACTAAAATTTAAGTTTCGAAAGATACAGAGAAATTTTTATTTTATAATATAATAAATGGTACAAGGATAATACTCAAACAAATCCAGTACACAGGGCAATCGAGAGTTTATAAGAGTACCGGGTTAGAGGGGTTCCATTTAACTTTGAATGAATGAAATGTGTAAAATTTTTAAAAATTTTCTTTTAGTAAAAGTTACATTAATTATATAGGGGTAAGGTTTTTTCGAGCCTTTTTAGGGAAGGAGCTAGGAAAAAATTCCTAGCTCCTTCCCCACTCGAGAGAACTTGATGGAGAATCAACTACTTTCAACATTTCCTATAAATATTAGATTTTATTTAACGTCATTACGTGTTAACATTATTTTATGTTGCGAATGTTTCAAAAAATGCAATTATCTAAATCAGTAAGTGAATAGACGCACTGACGTAACCAAGATGAATTAAGGGACTTAATACACCCCCCCAAAAAAAACAAGTTTAATAAAAAAAATTATAATTGAATTTCCTTTTTGTCAATTTTAATTTAAATAAATATCGATATGAATTTATTGTAGTTTGGATGCTGTAAGAACATACAAAAATAATATAAGAACTTATGTGAGTACCATAATTTTAGTTTATTTCTTAGCCAAATTTAATTTGGTGCTTGCCTCTGAATAAAAAAAAGTAATGAAATTCTCCTCATTTTTTGAATAAAATCTCTATAGTTAGTTTAGAAAAATTCGCGATTTTTTAAATTTAAATATATAATTTCAAATCTATAAGGTAATATTGAAATGAATAAATATACGCTATTATCTGAGAGGTAATGTAATTTTATTGCTTATTTAAATTTAAGCAAAAACGAGTTATTTTATCAGGGATTCGGTATTTTCTGATGGACCGAAAGCTAAATGAGTTAACGGTGATTCACACGAGCTCGCGTAGACAGGAAGAATGCACTTAAATTTACACTATAGTGTTTCATTCCAGGAATGAACAGGCAATTCACGCTAAATCTATTTCCTATAATATTCCATCTTTCGTGTTCACATCAATGAATCTCTTATGACACGTCATACAACATTTCGTGTTCTCGAATGGGATTTCCATTGTGAATAAACTAACTTTAAATAAATAAATAAAAAATACAATTAAATTTTCACTGTAGTATAGAAATTATAGAAAATTTCTGATAATTTTATTAGTTTGTTAATCCCTTACAATAAATTATTATCTCTAAAAACGACTATTTTTAAATAAAGAAAAACTGGAATTGGAACACCTTTAAATACTACAGATAATTCTTATCAGTGGCTATTAATATAATTGTTAATTATGTTTAAAAAAAGGAAAAAAAAAGTACTTTTCCTGTTCTGCCTATTGCTATGAGTTAGCCACTGATGTGAATGGAGCCAAAGAGACACCACCTCTCGAAAATTTTACCTGGGTCACAAATAAAATAAAAACGAATTAAATCAACTAATTGCCATTATTTAAATGCTTCGTTACACAACTTACTGTTAATACAGAAATACAGTTATGTAAATGTTTATAGAATCAAGTGCTCAATATCAATCCATGAATGAATTTTCTGGCTATTTTCTAGCATTCTGTGAACATGCGAACATCTCTGGCTGTACTAAACGAGTCATTGGACGATGAAGCAGTTTCGTCACGTACTTTCATAAGTACTTATTAACAATTATGAAAGTACGTGACAGAAATATGGCTCGAATAATAACACATATCTTGAAAAAAATTCTCTGACACTTCCTTTCGTTACTGAAGTCAATGCAATTCTAAATCAGTGTTCAATACAAATTTAAGTGGTTTATTAAGACTGCAAAAGAATTCTTTTCTTTATTTTATATACACGAAATATTCTATTATATATATACTTGATGTGTTAAATAATATAACAAAGTTATATCATTAATATATTAATATAAAATTTGTAGGAGATTGCACGCGAATGTTAAGAGTTTAATTAATTAATGATAAAAATTTTATGAAATTTTCATCTAAAATTATAAATTTACACAATATTTCTGTATAAGAATTTTATATTAAAATTTTATTTATACATAAACCAGATATTATAATAATACTAAATTATACATACAGTATAGGCTACTGTATAGGGCCTATATATATATTTTAAAATTTCTTAAAAGTTTCTTAAAATTAAATACAAATATTTCTAACCATTCAATATTTATTTGTTTCTTCTGCACAAATAATTATTTTATGAAGAAACGTTGAAAATGTTTATACTTTTGACTGTTTAGTTTTATTTTTATTCAATAGATGGCACCATTATACTAAGTACTTTATTTTTCTACGTAAACACTGAACTTTATTAACTATTGTTGTTATATTCTTATAATTCCAAATATAAATGAATAAATAAATATAAAATATAAACATAAATGAATATAATTTTCCCGAAATTTTATTTAATATAAATTATACACTATTACATAAATACATTTTAAAATATTTTATAAAGTTTATTATAAATATACATTATTTTCTTATTGATTTATTATCGGTGGCTTCAGATTTTTAAATATTTTAATATTTCAGAACAATATAAGTAAGTTAGATAAAAACTTTCACTGTACTGTACAATTAAATATTAATATAAATGAAGCTTTTTAAAGTAATCAAAGAGGGATATGTATCTAATCTATAATAGATTCAATAAATCAATGAAGGGGAAGAGCGTGCATGAACAAATCCATGCCCGAAGCTATGGACATAAACGTATATGCTCGAGCATCCGCCCACACGACAAGTGAGATAATCCACGAGCTACTTGCACATACTACATCAATCTTACTTATCACTCGCTGTCTACTTTCTACTGAAAAATATCCGGAAAATGAGATCTGGTTGAAGAATGGATGACAGTTTTCTCCAATAAACTAGGCCATCTGTTGCTTCGCTTTTTTATTTCATTGTTTTTTTTTTCAACTTCTGAAAATCGTACAACATTGATTCACGGCAGTGGACAATTGTATTGATTCTGTTCTGTCATATTTTGTTTTGATATTTTAACAATAAAATGTATATATATATACACAGCTCAATCTGTA